AGGCGGGCATCTCGAAACGCTACTTCGTACTTTTCGAAGGCGCATTTAGCGAGTTTATCGCGCTGCCGCAGAATTGCAACGCATTACGCATTGTTCTCACCGTGTATAAAGTCTATGTATTATACGCGAATTATTGGCTCGTGAATTCGTAAGATGAGGTTTGTTTTTTATGTAATTATGTAATCACCTACGTAAATAATTTTTACTTTGAATAAAAAGAGGAAGGCTCGTTAAATAGCTTATTAAATTATATAGCAATCGATGTTAAGGTATTAGCTTTTGGTATTTTTTTTCCAGAGCAACACGCACGAAGGTGTGATCAATGTAAAATATTGCGCAAACGTGCAAGCAAACAAGTAGGTTTGTGCGTATAGCGCGATAATAAAGTTACGCACATTTATGGGTCGAGCAGAGGCCTCGAACGACTCGAAAATGCATTTCTGTTTACTCACAACGGGCAGAAGTGCCTTGCGCGCGAATCTTAAGGTCGATCCGATCAAATTAAATATCGCGCAAGTGCCCGCGCGCTTGCGAAACTACAGGCATCAGCCGGCCAAGTGGTTTATACCATCGTGTAAGTTAAATATTTAAATATTTCCCGGTAACGCGGCCCGCAGCGAATGGTGCAACTGCTTCGTGCGCCCGCGCGCGCGCCTTCGCTGCACTCGTCGGTTTATTCATAGATTATCCGGCAACATCCTGGCCGGCCACGCGGTCGCGCATATAGATGCATCACGCCGTAGTTTCACGATCATTCCTCGATCCGATCGAAATGTCGCGAGATATTGCGAGAGCAACGCGTTCCTGATTCATGGTCGGCTGTTCCTGTTTTGCGCACATCGAACAATCAATCCAAATGAAATTTCAACTTAAAAAAAATGCAGCGTTGACGTGATTTAGATCAAAGGTCGACGAGGTGAGTCATCGACCTCATCAGATGGGCGAAACGTCGACTTCTTTTTTTCTAAAGGCTTTAAATTGAGAGCACTCTTTTTTTATTCATGTGTTTCAAAAAAGTTTATCGTAAAATATTTCATAATAAAATAATATAGCACAAAGAACAAAATGATTCTGTTTAGAAATAATACAGTTTTGCGTTCGTCTTTATCAATATTCAAAAAATTATTGAGAGCTAAAGTAGATCTTAAACAGTAAATGGAGTTATACGTTAAATCTAAGAGGCAATAAAGATATCAAATAGAGCTTGTAACATTTTTATGTCGTTTTGATGTTGAAGGAGATCCTGTTGAGGAGTCGGTCCGAGTCTTGGAAATTGCGTGCAACGATATCGAACGTAAATGCGTTTAATATCGCGCGTGCACGAGATTCCTTTACGGTCTCTCCCGAGAGACTGATATACAAGCGGCGAGTAATAAAAGTCGGTACCTACCGATACCACCCACGTGCCTAGTCGTGTCCGCACCTCTTAACAGTCAATGGAACCACGATTACGCTATTGTTCGAAAGTTTATGGCCGGCCGACGGGCCTTTCATTATTCCCCGGCGTGTATCTCTCGCGCGCCGACGCGCTTTCTCGCGCGTCGAATTTCTGCCGCCGGGGCCGCAGTTTCTCTAAACTTCCACCGATAATGCTGTCGATAAAGTAACGAATTTGTACTCCCGGTACCGTGCATGCCACGTCCATCACGCCTAGGGAAACTTGCTACTTCAAGAATACATCGCCCGGAATGCTTGGACGCACGCTGCCGCGCGCTTCGCTGTTTCAATATTGAAATGACTAAAGCGCCGAGCGTACATCGAATACTGATCGATATAACGATTGAATAAAATAAACATTAAAATTATAAATTATTATGTATCAAATATTTATCTCTGTTTAGCAAGATTAAAAAAAATATAAAATAAAATTGTATGCAACTTGTGTATGTAAAATACATAAATTACTTAGAAAATCATCACAAAATTGGATTATATTTTTCTTATATATTTGTAATATAATCACCACTGGATAAAATCACATTTTTTCAAAGAATTATTTATGAAGTTACATGTTTTCAGAATAAAAAATAATTTTTATAAAATTTTTGTTATAAAATTTGATAAAACATATTTTTCTTAAATCAAATAGATATTTTATTTTGAATTTTAATGTAACTTTTCGTAATCATTATTAATTTTTCATAATAATTATATAAGATGTAAAAGTTTGTAGCCAGTGCACGTAAAAATAAGACTGGCTTTCATATAAGAGTAAAAAATTGAAAAAGATCTTATAAAGTAGTCAACAACAAGCTTTCGTGAGCTTTACACGTCTGTAGGTGTTAGTATTACGTCATTCTCCGCTCTCGTCAGGGATTTCATGAATGGAACGCAAAATTCACGATGCCTGGGCGTAGTGACGTCAACGGTAAACATGACGTCGACGGAGGGTCTCTCCGCGGAAGAAATAGTTCACTGCTCTCTCCCCGATGAAAACGCGTCTGCGTATGAATGCGCGATTGATACCCACCGGGGTCGGCGCGCATTTCCGTCGCGTTGCAAATATAAAAACGTCACTAATCTAAAGGATATTCGCGAAATCACCCGCTCATCGTGATGACTATAACTGGCGTACACAGAGATATCGCGGTAAATGCATTCCGCTTCGCGTCATAAACAATTCTGCTTTCTCTCAGCAGACGCACAACTTTGCTTTCTTTCGCCGTGACTAATTTCCGCCGTGTGTGCAGCGCAATGCAATATAAATTCTTCGAAAATCTTCGTTAATCTTTGTCCGCGCGAACACGATTCGTACATATTAAAATTCATTCATCTTAAATCCCATCAGCAAAGAAATTCACGGAATAGCTCCTTCGTTAAGGAGAAACGCATTCCTCGTTGTTGAATCGACTGGCATATCTGTGCGCAAATCTATTTTTAATACGGCACGTGAAGAGAAATAATCTTAAAAATAACCTTTTCAACGAGAAAAGATCGCCCGTAAACGTTTTTTACGCGACCTAGACACGCGCGAATCATTTCAGATGGAAATAAATTTAACTGAATTACTTACAACGCCTATTTCGGATTGCCACACATTTCTATTTCAGTTTTCACATGTAAATTTAGAAGTTCTCACGCCCAGCAAATATTGTAACATTGAAACGTTAAGATCAATTGAGCTTTATTGCTAATAGCTGCAAACGCTTTAACATTTCACGCTCAATATCCTACGATCACGAGCAAATTGACTGCGGCGTGAGGATCCGTCTGACGCCTAATCGGCGTGGAGAACGTGACTAAGTTATGGCGACATCTTTAAGTGATATATTTGCAGTCTCCAAGGACTTGTGGATAAAACGGGCCTATCGTTCCCGCGATTCTTTGTTGTTCTTTCCAAATGACAAACGGCGGATAGAGGACGCGTGCATTGCATAAGCTCTTTAGAATTACGTAAAGTTCTATCGTAGAATATATAGGTACCTACATATATACGAGAGAACGGCGCAAACTTATAAAATGTTTGGATATAATTTCTAAAATCCTGTTATCCCTCGATGTCACCTGAATTAAATTTCTTTGTAAAATCTAATTTAATCTGACATAATTCGTAAATAGAATTAATAAGTAGAATTCAGTAGCGGATCGAAAAATAAATTCCAACGCGGCCTTGTGTTTTCCACGATGTTTGCTCAATATTTCTAATTTAAACCCCTAAATCGTTTCTTGAACTTCTATTAGAAATACTTGTGGAATATTTTTTTCTACATAAACAGAGAAGAATGCGCATCGATTTAAATTAAAAAAAAAAAGTACGACAAAAATACAAATTTGCTGATAAGTAAAACAGATTTGTTGGAAGAATTTGTAGAAGGAAACGTCGTCGAACGTGGAATGATAAGCGTATATGTGTACTGCGCAAGGTCGCGGAGATTGCGCCAAGATGATCGTGGCACGCGAATCATCGCGTCGATGTTGAGGACCGGTCAGTCCCCAGGTACGCCTAACCCGCCAGGAATATCCACCGTACACGCCCCCGCCGTGCCAGAATCGTATAGGGACTCTATACCAACGTCGCGAGTGCACTGGCCAAGGCACGTACTCATCCGAGAAATATGGCCGTACATTATTATTAGATTATGTTTTCGGCGCTGGAGTCGAACAAGAGTGCGCGAATGGCGAGCGCGGCCATTCGTTTCGCTCGGACTCTCTCTCTCTCTCTCTTTCTCTCTCTCTTTTTGCATGCAGCGGATTTCGGTTTACCGGCGCTTACCTCCGCGTGGAGGCATCTCGGCCAGATGTTACGACGTCTGATGCACGAGCCAGAGATACAGGGAGATAAGCCGTGCGATCAGCGTTCTTTGTACGTTATTTAGAAAAGAAGCGAATTTCGAGGAGGAAGCGAGGAGTCAGAATTCTTTGGCTCGCATTCACGCCACGCATTTAGCGCGAAATGTGACCGTCTCATCCCCGAGATTTATTTCGTTTAACATGAAGTATTTGTCGACGAGAACCAGTCAGTCATATTCAGGGTTCAGCGTGGGATATAAATAAATTACTTCTCCCACAGAGAAAAGAGAGATATTACAAGAATATTAAACGAGTGAATGACACGATCCGTAGCTCCTTTTTTTTCGCCTAATGTTGAAAATTAGCGCTTAAAGAAATGATTCAATGAATTTTATGATTTTAGTATATCTCGTAAAATGACATGAAAATAAATGACCGCAATTATTTTATATAAACCTTGGTACAGATTTATGGAATATCAACATCGCGCATCGGCTCGGTTCTCGACCCTTTCTCTCTTTGTCGCACCGACATCGCCGTGCGATGTACGAAAAAAGATTTTCGGGCGAAATCACTCGTTCATTAATCAAAAGGAGCGTGCATTGTGCATGCATCAAATGTCTCGATAACAAATGCGCTGCACGAATCGTGCGGCGTACTTTACGGCCCTCCCTCGCTCTTATCTCCGTTGTATCGCGAAAAATGGTCGAAATGTAGCCGGAGCACTGTAACCGGCAATTTATATCGAAGCGAGATAATCTCTGACTCACGTTTCGATGCGCCGGTGCGCGAGCCACCCTCTCCGAGGACCCTCTCAGCAGCTCCGCGAGCAGCTCCGGACTCGGTCCCGGAAGTCCCTCGAGTTTGGTCGGGCTGGAGGTCGTCCGATGGTGGCAGGGCGTGGGCGGCTCGGAGCCGCTGTTGTTGCTGCTCGCGTTGTACGAGAGATTTGCGGAGATCTTTCTGCGGGGACGAAGACCTTCCTCGAGCGCGATATCGGTGGTGCGCGGTTTCGCCATCTCGGCCTCGAGCATCTGCCCGTAGGGCCCGCGGAGGGGCCTCTTGCTATACCTTAGTGTTTGAAAAGAAGAAAATATTAATGTGAATAAATATTAACATTTATAAATATCTTTAAACGGTACATACATATACTTTAAGGATTAAAACAAAAGTTTTTATTTTTGATAAAATAAAAATTTTGACACTATAGATATAAAGAGAGGAATGTAATTTACACCTTTAAAAAATAAGAGTTTACTGATTGTTACATTTGTGTGTGTGTGTGCTTTTAAAAATGCTTTTTAAAGTTTAAAAATATTGATGTTTGATGATAAAATGTGGACTCGATAAAACCTTACGAAGAAAAGACAAACCGACAATCGGAACGTAAAGATTCTTGCTTTACACGTGAAACTTTAATTGCCTCGCTAAGTCTATTATTAACGCGAATTTGAGAATGGAAAAGGAATATGTTAAATCGTCGCGTCTCCATGTCGAGCGCACTTCCGTTCTATTTCGATGGGTCTGGGACGTAGGTTCTCCGGTTACCTTCGAGGCGTGTGGCCCTCGCAGTCGGACAGGTCGCTGGGCGTCGCAGGTGGCTCGTCTCTCTCTTCGCTGCTCTGAGCCGACAGCTTGTTCCTGTCCGCGTCCAAGGGCTCTGGCCATTGAGTTATGTACACGCCCTTCCTCCTCTTGCTGGTGTCGCCCCGGTATCGTCTCGCCTTGCCGGATGGCGAGGACGCCTCCGAGGGCGTCTCGCTCGGCGCCTCGCTACCTTCGCTCGCTTGACTCAATCGCGGCTCCTCCGGGGGTGGTGTGATGATCACCTCGTGCGGCTCTATCCTGGTCTCTAAAAACCATTTTCACGACTCCGTCATTCTTAACCGTCTATCATATGCTAAAACAGAGCAATGTTGATCTATTTCTGGCGATTAATAATATGACCAGAGAGAAATCTATACATATAGTGAAACTAATAAAATTTAAGCTCCCAGCTTAAAACTTTCACAATGAATGAAATATATTTCGTTCGGAGTTATAGAGTGAGTGAGTTTCGAAACATTTGTATACTTAAAGACTATATTTTAAGATCTATATTTTAAGACTAGAATATAAGAATAGAAACAGACTCTTAGGCGTTTTCTTAGGCACACATCTTCTGGCTTAATTATATATACTTCTGCTAAGAACCTGAAAACTTATTATACTCTAGATTCTAATCCTCCTTAAGCTCTTATTCCTTCTAATGTAAAATTTTTATTCAATTTATGAAAGTTAATTGTTTTAATGTAAAATAAATGATAAAAAATTAATTTGTTTATGTTTTTTATGTCTCTCGCTCTATATTAAATATTTTATCGTTCATAAAATAACTTTAAATGTGTGCATCCTTTGATTTTTTCAAACTTTAGATTAAAAGAACTAATGGCTTGTAAGTTTAACAACGCTAAATAAATGTCGTTTTAATTTTTGTTCAAATTGAACCAAAGAGGTTTGTTTGCGTGAGAATCGTTGCAAATTTGATCTCGGAGGACGGAGTTTATTAACATGGGATCAAATCAAACAGTCGTTCATGTATTTCGCGATGTCAGAGACGATGGACAAAGCGTATAATGCGGGGATCGAGAGACGCGGGAGAGAACGAGGACTATTTTGGGTGCATCGACAGGAGCACGGGTACAAAGGTGCACGCAAGTCCCATGTTATTTTGCGCCGACACTATTTTCAGAACGGTGGGTGCCAGAGTGGAAATAGACGTTTGAGCGTCATTGAGTTATAGCCATCTTCATTGATGACTTCACGCACGGCCGCTCTCATACGACTGGAATCGCGCTCTATTCACGCTAAATGATAAACCGACGCGCATTTCTCAACTGATGACGACAGTACCCTTACCCGTCGCGGCCACCGTTTTCTTCGCCTTGTTCGTCGCTCGTTTCCTGCTACGATCGTTGTTTCCTCGCGATGAGCAACGCCGCGCGAAATTCGGGCAAGCAGATCTCGCGCACTCGCGGACTCCCACGCGAGTGTATTTCCGTTTTATATCCTACTGAGATATCTCTCACGCATACAATCGAGCCACGTTACAGCGAGCGGAAACATTGCTTCTTTCCTTCGAGATTACGCTAATGTGTGACGAGAAAGGAACATGCGATTCTTTTTATTAAAATAACGCAGGAGTTAGAAGTCTTAATTAATTAATATCTTGCAACATAGTAAATAAATTATACCTAAGCTAAGAGTAAAATAAAGTAAAACGTAATGATAAAATCTAATTGTTGAAGAACAAACACTATTGTTGACTTAATGTAGAGAATATATATTTTTCTTTCATATACCACTTTTTCTTCTAAATAATAAAATAAAGTAGAACATAAATGACGTACGCTTATAACAATTACGAGAATAAATTTCTTTTTTTTTTTCTCACACTGAAGGCGGTCATAATTTCTCTTTGTAATATTACATCTATGTAATTTTAATACTAATAAATATTTCTCTTGTAATATTACGTTTTTGAAATTTTAATGCAATTTTAATGCTAATAAATATTTCTCTTCTCAAATTCTCACCTTTCTGAATGGTCTCCTCCACGATGTTTCCTTCGATGACAGGATACACGGACTCGTGGCCAACGAGTTCAGCAGTGGGCGCATCTGTTTGCACCAGATCAACCCTCGGCTCCAGCTGATTCGTCTCCGGAACTAGTGGTTCCGGGCTGGTGAGTGCGCTGGAAGTTGCCAGACTGTCTGAGCCATCGCTTCTGGGTCGGATCTCCTCGTGGTTCCCTTGCTGAGAAACACCCAGACCCTCGGCAGAGCCGACGGCGCTGTCGACGCTGGGCGTCGACGTCCTCGGACTCTGTCGGTTGGGGCTGTTTTGAGGTGTCGAGCTACCTGGGGTGACATCACCCCGACGACGAGGTAATGTGCTCGCACGAACGTCTTTGGTCTCGGAGCGATTAGACGTTACGATCGGCTGGGTTTTCTGTCGATTCGCTGAAGGAGGAAAGTGCGAGTTTGCGCTGAAAGTAAAATCTGCATCTTGCAGAAAATTACGAGCGGTTAGTAAATTTATTCTTATAATTCTGTTTTATTTTGAAAGTATTTTGATTACATTGTTTTACGAAAAAAATATTACGCAAATTATATATGACCAATATATGTATTAATATTTGAGTTTATATAAACCTATATAAATATAAGTCCGTTGAAGCGAACTAATTTTATATTTTGACTACATGTGACAGCAACAGCGAAAAGTTTGCGGAATCGTTATTACACTGAAGATAGATACACCTAAACAATGCAGACCGAAACGTCAGTAATTTTGTTAATTTTCCTAATATATGTAATTATATTTGAGCACTATAAATATCTGGCTTAGCGCGTAGCCCTTTATTTTGTTGTTTAATTAAAAATATAATACATTATTATTAAATTTAATAAAATATTTTTTTCTAGTAACAATAAATTTTATCACAAAACTTTTATGACAAAGCTTATTTTTTCGAAGTAAAAAATTGAAAAAATAAATAGTAGAGAAGATATAAGACAGATTTAAATTTTAGTCTAAAGTACATGTGAATTTTTATTGCAGCTAATCATTGCTATTGTAAACTATTATATTATAAAAAAGCTTTTGATACAAATTCAAGTGGCCTCTGCAGATACCTTTCAACTGACGTATTCCAGAGATGCGTATTACGCGCGTTTTCAATAATAACTCGAGTACTCTTGCACCGAGCAACAGTGAGGCCGCCTCTCAGTCGTGAGAGAAGATGAGAGACGCAGAGAGCACTAGAGGAAATCCTAATTACCTCCTCGAGTGTCACGTAAGTTTGGCAGCGCTCTTAGGCCGAGGAGGTGGACCATTCCAATAATAACAAACAGACCGTGCGAGATGAGAGAGATCACGAAGACGCGAGAAGCAGCGCGCACTTCGTTGGCGGAGTTCCGGGAAACGTGCTGACCGATTAAGATACACGATAGAAATTTTTTATTCCGTACTATTAAACAAGGGGAACTGAATACAATTCAATCAATACAATTTTGCTAAATTGTATCTTCAATGTTTTAAATACGAAAGAAAATGTCGTGTATCAATTATAATATTTTTACATTATTACTTAAGTATTGATGTCATCTCGATTTACGTGCCTTTAAGAAGATTGAATTATGAAAAATATAAATTCAACATTATGTTAACTAAACAATAAAAAAATATTTCTTTTAATTTTTGTTAAAAAATAATTAACTCGTTTTGGATATACAAATTTGAATGCATTTTATTGAGTAGCTGATTTCGTTTTTGCAATACTTGAGGTAATAAATTACGAATTTCATATTAAAGTAATGTTAATCACAAAAATGCAGATATCCGAACACATATCATGTATTATATAATTATCCAATAAAATTTATTCAAGCTGTATACAACTGCAGTCAGATAAATAGATTTGGCTTCCATGCCCGCTCGCGGAAAGAGATTTGGGCAAGCGCAGAAAAGTTCTGGCGGTGATATTTCAAAAGCACCTGGTAATCCGTCCTCGCAGCTCATCTTTCGTGCGTAAAAGGTGTCTCGAAAGATTTGTTGCCGCGGAAGCGTGAAGTGTTTCCGGTTTGCCAATGAGGCGTCGCGTTTTCGCGCCTTCAATGTCGCCATAAAATTTTGCTCGCTTTTATAGTCTGTTACTTGAATTATAAACTATTATTGATCCAATAAATTTTTAATAAATAATATAAAAATAATAATGGGCTACCAACCAAGCTAGATTTTAATGCTACGTGATAAACAATTCAAATAAATAATAATAAAGACAATGTGCAAAACAAACGTTTCGACTTAAATCAGGTCATTTTGAGTGCCGAATTTTGCGCGGCATTGCTCATCATGAAGAAATAACGAGGTGAGAAACAAGGTGAAGAAAACGGTAGCCGTGACGGTAAAGATACTGTCGTCATCAGTTTATTGGCAATTATAGAAAGAATCGTCATCGGAAGTATATTAAAAATTTAAAAGAATTTTTAAAAGTATAACTAAGATAATATAAAATAAATGTTTTTGTGATTTTATACATTCAGAAGACATATTAATGTGTAGAATAACTATGAGATATTTTTATGTTTGCCTGATCTAGGTCAAAACTTGTTTTCATTAAAATTTATTTGAATTGTTTATCATGTAGCATTAAAATCTAGCTCTGCTCGTAATCATTATTGTTTTTTTTATTATTTCGAATAAATTAAGCCCTAATTTTTTATTGAATATATATATTTTTAAATTTATATTAATACTTCTCTTGGTAATAAAATCGTCTTCTAATACGCGTCTTTACGAAGAGTTACATATAAATTATTATTAATAAATTTGTGTAAATATTGATTTTTTTCCTCTTATCAATATTTTAGTATTAGTATATTTAATTTTATTATTGAAAGCGCGTAAAAATTTAATCAGAGATATGCGCGATTGAAACTTGGTGGTAACCTAAGCAAATAATACGCATACAGGTCAAGGTTGCCAGATATGTTATTACTGTCATTAGAAATTCGAACCTTGTTGACAGTCGCACTTAGCGCTTTTCTTATTTCTAGTCTTTCATTATGCAACCGAAGCTACTGCGGTATGTAGTTCAGGGTTGAAACCTAATACAAGACTGTCACCATGGCGTTCAGTTCCGTGTTTCCAAAAGTATCTTACGAAGACACGTGTGGATCGTGGATTAAGAGAAGGACTCTCCGAGAATAAAAATAGCATTGTCCGCATTATAATCACTATCGAACATTTGAAAACAACATTTTGCTTTTCAAACGTTCGACAAAGCTATGCAGAGTCAAAGAACTCCACTTAATCGCGCGTGCAGACTGCAGAGTATATACGTTCTCGAGTTTTCCTTCTTAGCTTAGCGTGATAACGATAGTGTAAATCTTACGGTAGACGCAATCTGCATCAGTCTTGCTGTAATTGGTTTAATTAAAGCTAGCTCGCAAGACGTCCCTAATGAGCCTGCGAGCCTGCGAGTCACCACACGGCACACGGAAGCTTACCTTGATTAAAGTCCACCTGGCCGAAGGAGGCACTCCTATAGGGCGCGCCGGACCTGTGAAAGGCGAGCAGCCCACGCGGCTCCAGCCTAGTGATGGCATCCCGGGCCTCCCCCTCGTTGCCGCCAACGGAAGCGGCGTTCAGGTTATCGCACAAATCGTCCACACTCGTAGCACTGTCCACCACGGAATCACTGTACTGTCTCAAGTGTTTCGCCGCCTCCGCACTGGCATTCGGTTTGCTCCTGAGGTCACTGACGTCATCACTGTTTCTCTCCGGTCTGCCTGATCTCGAGGTCTTCCTCGAGTCGTGGCAGGGCTTCCGGTATATGTTGTTTCCCGAACGATCACTGAGACACTCTTCACTGACACTCTCACTGCGGACCATCGTCTTCGAATTTTCTTGCTGCTGCTGCTGCTGCTGCTGATGTTGATGCTGCTGAGACTGCTGATTGTTATTACCATGTTGGCTGCCCTCGCTGTACGTATAGCTGCGATGAGATGAGCGACCCTCGTAACGGCCGCAACTTGGATTCGAGCCCGTCTGGGACAAACACGCAAAAACTTAGATTAATTTGGCTTTACGTTACGTCGAATTAAATCTGCCAAAAATATGTAATTTTCTACGAAAATTGCATCCACTTTAATTGCAGACAGATTTTCATTAAATGTTTAACACTAGAATCGCAGTTGTGTCATTTTTGACCCATCTGATAGTTTTTCCTTTTCATTGTCGTTAACTATAGCTATGCGTCGACTGAATTAGTACTAATAAAAATGTGTTATTTAGTTACCCCACTTTACCCACTTCAAAAAATCACAAAAGAATAATATGGGTCATAAATAATCCACCCACGGTTCTAAGGGAGACCTAAATCGCCGCAGTTCTAGCTAATGTCATGTAGACAATAAATCAGAAAATAATTTATACATTATGCGCGATTATTAAAGTGTTATCGTAGCTTATCAAATGTCATTGAAATTTACGTAATGTTTATTAATTACGAAATTATAATATTACTATTGACGTTGTAGCAAGAAATTTATTGAGGGCAGCAGAATAACAGAAATTTAATGTATGAAAATTAGAATGAATGACAATTGTTTGTGCGTGAATCCCTGTGTGTAGATTACGAGAGAGCGATCATCTGTATGCGCCTTGGCATGCGCCGAGTTCAGCGAAATCGTGACAAAGGAGTCACTCGCGAATCGTAAAGTTCAGCAAAAGTCTTCTCGGAATGAGGTACAAGATGGGCATTGAGATTCATTAATGAGAAGTCGAAGTATCGGCTATGTCCTACAAAGTATGACCCGAAAATATACATCTGCAGTTCTTTCTTATTTTCTCTCAAGATAAAAATTAAATATTAAAAAAATTTGATATTAATTTACATCTTTTTCCTCAATGCTTTTCAGTGTTACAAATTAGAAAAAGATAAAGATTGTTTTTATTTGTACATAGATCTGCACTACAGAAAAATAACAAATAAATTATTTTGTCTTAATATAAAACAATTATTTCTAGCAATGCAAAGATATTTTCTATAAATGCAAATATAATGGCAGATTATAATATAATCGGTAGAGAGATAAACCTTCTTTAGTTGCAACATTAAAAATCACATTGCGCTTCTATTAATTTTTTTTGCTTATCAAAATAATTTTAATATAAAATTTGTTATATATCAAGAGTTACACAAATTATTAAATAATTTCTTTATATGTTTGATTTTTCGTAATAATGTTCAAATATTAATAATAAGTAGATATTTTTTTTCTTGGCAACAGCAAATGTTCGAAGGTATAAAAAAAGTTCAGTTGTATAAAATATCGTTCGTTCGTGCGTAGCAGTAGACGTCAAGCTCTCGTCACCGTGACGTTGGAATTCCTCACCTGTGGATAATTTTGAGACGACGGCTGGTATCCGCTTGGAGGAGGAGAGGAAGCCTGAACTCGCGACGGTCTTCTGGGTGGCGGAACCGGTGCTGGTCCCTTGAGTTTCTCGGTAAGCTCACGAAGGCGCTCAGCCTTCTCGCTGCGGGGGCCGGAAGAGGACTTCTTGCCACTTCCTCCTCCGCCCCCGCTCCACCGAAACCTGTGCAATCGGTCCACCGCTATCACTGCTGGTTCCTGCGCACAGCCGAACAGGGGAGAACAAATAAATCTCACGGCTTGCAATTGTTCCGATGCGTGAAGCCGAGATATGTGTGAAGCCCGAGTCAGTAGAATAAACAATTCTATTTATTTTTCATTCCTCCGATTATTAATTTGCAATGATTTCTAAAACCAATATAAAGGCAAAACTTGACAGAATTATCAATTTTTCGTCGATTGGCACTAAGACACTCGTTGATAAACAATTTCCGTATTAATAGAATTATTTTTATAGATAACTAATCATAATTAAATAATCATTTAAAATATCTGGAACTTAAAAGTAATAACTTTCAAATCAGTTAAGACTTTAAATTACTTTCTCTAATTTTTAAAAATTACATATTAGTTATGTATATGTAAAACACAAAAATACACAAAAAAAAATAATATTTGCTTCGCAAGTATTTCTCATCAAGACAGCAAAACCATATATCATGCTTGTGAACGTACGCAATGACTGACATACGATAATAGTGATGCGAGAGTATGTCATGAGTAAAGTGGCAGGCTTAGGACATCGAAAACTCATTCCTGCGCGTACATAAGTGCCTATAGTCAACGAAGAAGCGATATTCTATTTTCGTCGTGCGTCTTTATCTTTTCCCTCTCGGCATACGTGTTGCGACGCTACGCATGAGGTGTTCCAAAAATCGAGCGACCGCACGATTTTAAAAAGCAAATGAAGAAACCGAGGTGTTCGAATGTGCAGAAAGATCAAGCGTGAATTTTGGCACGTCTCTCTGCAAGCAGATGAATTTTCTTGGCGCGATGAAATCGCGAATGTTTCGAGGCGAAGGAGACACGCTGACAATTTCGTAAAATTCAAAACAAAAATTGGTCCATGGGAAACAGCAATTTAATTATAAGGATTCTCCGAGGATAAATAGAATTGGATTATAAGTTTGTTGACAAATATTAAATATTTTTTTAATTATACTATACCGTCAAGAATTCGCAAAAATCTTTTAAAAAATACAAAATTTGGAGGATAAAGATATCATTCTTAAACTCTTTAAAAAGTTGTTAATGAATATATCATTTGTGATCCAAATAAGATTTATTGATTTCTTTGATCATGGCAAGAAAATGTGAGAAAAAGAAATTAAAATTTAAGACAAAAACTATTCTTGATAAAGTCTGCCTCAAAGACAGAGATAATTTCAAACTTGCTATCGATAGAATTTACCACATTATCGAAGAGATTAATTTCCTTGCGGTGACCTTGAGACCTACCTCGGGGCTGCTGACACAAAGTCTTCCGGACCTAAGCCACTCCACTTTGTATCCCTAGTGACCACCTTTTGCACCTCACCGAGTCTACGCGCGAAACTCGAACTTCGCGCTGATTACGAACGAGCGCGATCGAATGCCCATCGCGAAACAACGATCCACTCGCGGACAACGGAATAACGGAAAACCGGAATAACTAATTGAACTAACAAGCGAGGAACAAACGATCGATCTCGGCAAGCACGCGATCGATTGGCGCAAGTACCTGCAGCTTGAGCGTCTGCTTCGTCCACTGCGCGAGCTGCCGCGGTACGGAGACGGTCTGCGTCGTCGTCGGGACGCCGGGCGAGTAGCCGAGCGACGTCGAGGGTGAGCACGGCGTCGTCGTCGGTGGCGAGTACGACGATGTTACCGCCGCCACCGCTGTTTGTGGATATGGCTGTTGGTAGTGGTGTGGCTGCTGTTGCTGCTGCGGCTGCTGGCTGGTGCTGCCGATGTTCCCCACCGATGTTTGCACCGCGCCGCGACTATTATTAGCGAGCGTCGGCGTCGTCTCCGCGAGGCTCGTGGTAGAAGCAGGAAGAGACGGCGAGCAGCCGTCGGCGATACCCCCGGACGGATAACCACCGGCGACAATCGAAGGACACGACGACGACGACGCCGACGATGACGACGCGGACGACGCCGCTGTCGGCATCGACGACGTGGCCGAAGGGGAGGTGATCGCCGGCGGTACCCGCGGAAGCGGAAGACGCGATCGCGGACCGATGCAGCAGCAATCGGCGATGCTGGCCGCTACGTCGATCGGCTTTTCCGCCATCGGTCTCTCGGTCAGCCGCTCCCGCGAGTGGCTCTCGCGCGAGTTCCGCTTCCGCCGGCGCTCCTGCGATTCCTCTCTAGAGTTGACTGGCGGCAAGTTCTCCTAGAACAGACAAACACAACCTTTTTTCAATTCTTCATAAAGCAATGCGTTGTGTTCAATCTTTTCGCTCTAAATTTGACCGATTTTTTCTCTTTAAAAAATTACTATTTACATTTTCTTTTATATAGAATATATTCTATATAATAAAAGAAAATGTTAATTTTCTTAAAGAGGAAAAGTTAGATAATTGGAAATTGATTTTGAATGTACGTTTTAATGTTTATTATTTTATTTTCAAAAAAAATATAGCTTATAAAATGCTAAGCATCGTGTGCTTTATTTATTACAAGCATTCTTATTTAGACTTGAAACTAAATTGGAACTTAATTTAAAACTAAAAGTGTTAAGGTAAAAGATTCAAATTAAATGCCAATGAAAAATCGTCGCTAAATTCTTTTGAAAATAGAATTATGGCTTTTTTTCTTCAGGGCACCTCGTATATCTTTGTTACTTATTCGTTACTTCTTTGTATTTCACAGACACGTCCTCATATCCGGTTTATTTCTCCGTCTGCGCTGATGCGTCTTCTTCGTTTCCTTCCATTTCTCTCATGTCCCTTAACTTAGGGACACTGTTCCCCGCGCTGTCTCAAATGTATCTCGTATTTTTAAACTTACAAGAAAATGACGTACAGGCGTGCGTGCTGCTGATGTGTACTCTTTCTGAGGATCGCATTTCGTAAATTTTTCTTGCTGTGTACTCTTAAATCTCAGCAAGCCTTTTTTGTATCACTAAACCCAACACCAAATCTTATATTTTCGGAAGTTACTGGAATCGATAATGGCGTCATCGATTCACGATAGCGATAAATAACGGAGATTTATGCGAGTCTCGGATAGAATTTGGCAGAGAACGGCGCGCAAATGTGTCACATAAGATTCACGTCGGCCGTACGTGCCGTTATGACGTCAATGGTGCTTATTATTCCACGGACAAACCGTGAAAAGAAAGGCGGAAAGTCAGAAAGAGTGACAGAGATGAGAATTGAAGAGTCACTTCAAAATCGGCTCAAGTCAGTGACTGGCGGATTCTATTTGCATGATCGGTTCTAAATTTAGATCCTTCGACATCTTAATTTTGTTGTCGCAAATCGCTCCTGTCGCGACACGATCAAAGGTCGTTACCAAATTAAGTTCAAAGGAAACAGACGTTTTAACAAAAGAATTAAGAAAAAAATTATGCAAATTTTCTCTTGTAAAATAATGTAAAAGGATTTGCTGAGGATCTTACTTTTAAAAATAAAATCAAAATATTTTATTTGCTTTTATTTAAAATATTAATTTTTAATACTTTAAACTTTAAATTACTTTATTTAATTTTATCCAAAATCAGAAATTGTTATGACTATAAACAATTAAAGTAAAATGGAGAAATATAAACTTCTTCTTGTGACTCTTTGAAAAACAAATATCTAATGATAATGTATTTTTTAAAATACTAGCACTACAAACGCGCGCTTCGCGCGCACTATTTATTACTTCTTGCTATAATTTACAATTAAATAATTTATGTCAATACACACAACTGTCAAAATGCAATGTCACAGCCGCTTACGCGAAGTAAGCGCAGCGAG